GCCACGCAGCTTCCCTCAACAGACTGTCACACAGCAGTCACCGCTGGAACAGCTTGACAAATAACACCCTAAGTCAGTGTGGGAGGGACCAAAGCTACCCAAGGGGCCCCTCCAGCTTTTCAGCCTTCTTCCCAGAGACTCCAGGGCTAAGCAAGACTGCAAGGTTAGTCCCTAACCCTGTTATTCTCCCACATCAGGCCTAAACACCTCCCACCAGACCAACCAGGAAGATCTGCCTCAGATGTTTACAATGTCCTGCAGGGGCAGACATTAAAAAAGAGGTGGTCTTCCCATTAAATCTGACCTGGGGTTTCACAGAAGGCATCCCAGAGAAATCTCTGGATGTGCTTGAGCTACAAACTGAAACCATGCTGTAGGAAAGAGGCTTTCCAGGAAAGACACCAGAGAGAGTGCACTGTGATAGGACAGTGTCACAAGTGCAACACAGATCCAAAGTATCTTTCTCTCAGGCCTGGCCAGCCCTGACTCCAGCTTCAGCACACAGCTTCAAAGCCGCCATCCTGACGGTTCCCGGCCCTGTCGCCATCTGCGTCACACACAGCACAACACCTATACCATTAGCGTCATCACACTGCGTCAGGATCTGTGTGACCATGCAGCCACTAATCTGCATGCCCACTGGTTAGGTAAGTTCAGTTGTACAAATCATGTCTGTTTTATACTGTTACCCAGGTACAGTATCTAGACAAATAGTAACTGTTAGGTATAGCCTCTACCCAAAACACACTGGCACATTTTATTAAATGAAGAAACAGAAACAGATATGAGCTGCCAAAAGGGTCTCAGGTAAAGAGACAGCAATCAAATGATGGCTGCAGAAATGATCTTCCAGCTGCAAAATGACCTGACTGGAAGGGCAAAACTGAGCTGGGAGACAGCTAAGGAGACACTGGAAATTGCACAGAACTGAGGGCAGTCAGGATCGGGAAGGCGATGGTGAGGATGAAGTAGAAAACACTAGCTGTAGAGGCAGAATCCAAGAACACAGTGCCCAGGCAAGGCAGAGACACCTGGAGAATGAGGAGCCCGAGAGCTGGAAGTGCAACGTCAGACTGGGAATGGAGGACAGCTCTAGGTATGCTGGTGAAGTGGAAGATTTCCTTCTAGCTCCAAAACTGTGACTGAAAGCAAGTAAAATCCAGCCCAGCTTATTAAAATAGCATGTTTTCCATAAATCAGCTTATAAGAGTCATTTCAATTGATGAAGACACTTCTTGGGTGCACATACCGTATCAGGCAAGACTACCACCTGAGGATTCAAACTCAAAGCCCATCAGCCTTCAGGAAGTTGCTGAGAAAGTAACCATGCCAGCAGCTGAGTATTCAGGCCACTGAGGCTGTGATTTGACCAGTTACCATGTGTAGTCAACGCTTCTGGAATACTGACTTCACCCAACAGTAAACGGTGCAGGCCAGTCTGCCACTGAGAGGTAAACAGAAATGTATAGACGGGCCCTTGGACTCCAGAAAACAATGAAAGCATCACGCCCCGGGAGGACCAGGCCCTGTCACAGAGTTGCTATCAGCAGCAGACTGGGGATCTCAGCATGCGAAAAGGACAGAGACCTGATTCACACAAAGAGCCTTGCTGAGCACGGGCCAAATCGTGGAGGTGCCGAGGGCAATTCTCCGGAGGCTCTTGAAGTGACGATGAGAGATGAGTGCTCAGGGAAGACAGCCTCTCCTACCAATGGCAAGAAATGGTTACCCAAGGGGTGAACGATCACAACCTAAAACAGACATGCAGGAGGAGAGCAGATGGGAAACGATTATGAAAATGACGCAGGTCAGACCCAGCCCACCCCAAGCAAACCACACTTCAGTGGGTGCTCCCAGGCCACTGGACCCATGGACTAGACAGTGTGGCTTTTCCCAAACCACAACAGAAAGCCAACACATCCCAAAGTTGGTGCCATGGCCTCCTTCCTTTACAAATGCTTTCTTTACAGAACGTGCAGCTGTGCTGCATCTACATCAACAGCCTTCCACTTAGTTCTCTCTGCGCTGACCTCATCCTCCCTCAATTCCCTGCCTTTGAGACTGGCTCCGCTTGCGAGAGGTACCCCCTACTGCTCGCTGCCTCCTGCCCCAGCAGCTGTCTCTATTCCTGTCAGAAAGCAATCCTTCTGCGGAACACCAAGGTAAACTAGCTTCCAAGCACCTAACATCAGAAGCCTGGTTTCTGCTCTCTCTCCTCTGCTACCCTCTACCCCAGGGCCTCCAAACAGATGGACACTTCAGGAATACAGGAATAAGGTTACATTTGTCCTCCCAAATCCACTCAGCCTTTCTATCCAAGAAGATCTAAGATTTTTGTCCGCACAGCTTGGGGTGTGCCTGCACCCTCAACAGTAGGGTTTTGCTGTATTTTGAGGAAGGTCTCACTATAGTCTCACCTGCTATGAAAGTCAGGCCAGCCTCCAACTCATAAGCCTCCTACCTCCGCCTCTAAAGTGCTGGGGTTACATGTGTGTGCTTTCACACAGGCTTTTGTTCTTACTATGCAGCTTAGGCTGGACTTGAACTTTGCTCCTTCCTACCTCTGACTCTCAAGCACTGGGGTTACTTAGTGCTGAAATTACTTTTTTTTTTTTACAAAAAATGTTTCAGCTAAAAACTCTACCTTGTAGCTGAGATGCCACCAAACTAGGCTTTTAGTATCTCTCACCTATGTGTTAACGTCAGAAAATTCAGGCTGTGTAGGAAATTCACCTGCACATCCTTTTTCATCCTCAACAGCCATAACAGCTATTGAACAGGTGCTCAGGAAGGTATGAGAGAACAGAAATTGTGTCTTATTTGGTGCCTAGGACCATAACTGCTCAGTATCCCCGATAAACTTTTTCTTAGTTTCACTTTCAACATGAGGGAAGCATCCTCACAGAAGAGTGGACTGTCCAGTAAAAACAGCACAAATGTCCTTCAATTCAGACACTTACAAGGCTTCCTTTTAGGATTATGTGACTAAGTTACATCATCACCATATAAAGACCTATGTATGTCTGTTCTATAAAAGTTCTTGGGTATTCTAAACCAACGGTTCTCAACCTATGAGTTGTGACCCCTTTGTGGTTGAATGACCCTTTCACAGGGGCCACCTAAGAACACCGGAAAATAGATATTTACATTGCGACTCATAGCAGTAGCAAAATTATAGTTAGGAAGCAGCAATGAATACAACTTTATGGTTGGGGTCAGCACAATGTGAGGAACTGTATAGGTCACAGCACTGGAAGGTTGAGAAATACTTTAATGTATCATACTGCAATCAGTTATTAACATTTAATCAGAAGGGCATAAAGGGATAAAAGAAAATTTTGTATAAAGTAAAATAAATGACTGCACAAAATTTTAAAAATCAAAAAGTGGTAGTAAAGTTTCTGATCAGAAAGTCTTGAAGGTGGGACCATTAAGTTAGTGCTGGGCTGTGCTTTTGATTTTTCACCAAGCTTCAATATGTGACCTTGGGAATGTCATGTAATTTCTTTCATTCCTACGTCTGTAAAATGGGACAATTTCACACAGACAGTCAAATAGAAGAATGCCATGTATTTGGTGTTCTTTCAAAGAAACTTGTCTAATTAGTACGTTTCAATCACCACACGTACAGAACATTCTTCTTCAAGAACCCAATTCCAAGAGAGATATTTAAGCAGACGTTGAAGACAGATTTCCTGAACGCAATGGTCTTATAAATCTGAAAAGCTCTGTAACAAGATCAGAAATTAACAAACTGATTACATAATCCCTGACAACCTGAGCAGATACCAACTGTGATAAGTTAAGGACCGACTTGGGACAGTGTGTCCCAAACCCTGCGAAGAATCCAACCTGAGCCTTTTGATGTTGGACTGGAATCTGGTGGAAACTCGGCAGAAAGCTTCACACGTGCGGGTTCCATTACTTACTTCACCTCAACCCTGACAAAACGTCAGGCACTGCGGTGGCTCCCTCAGGGCGCCTAAGACTTGGAGAACACGCTCATTTACAAAGAAGGGGAAGGAGGACGCCTGACAGCCCAGAGGCCCTCCATCCTCTGACTTCTTCAGGAGCCCGGAGCTAAAGCCTCCTTCAGGCGTCCATGACCTGAACTCAGGGCGACGCTCCCAGGCTGAGCTGAGCCTCCGTCAATACCAGTCAAGGAAGCCCAGGCGTACAGGGACGCCGCGGGCAACGGGCGGCGAGGTGTGTTTTTATGTAAATGGTCCGGAAAGAAATCAACAGGCGACGTCTACGGGGAAGAACGGCGGCTCCCACCCCGAGAAAGCACCGCTACGGCCCCCGGGGAGCCGACGGCTGCCCCTTCCGCGGCCCGGCGCCCTTCCCCAGGACAGCCGCGTCCCCGCGCTCACACCCGGCGGCGGCGGCCCAGCCCGGCGGCGGGACCCCGCGGCCCGCGGGGAAACTGAGGCCCGCCGCGGGCGCGGCGACGGCTCCCGCGCTGCCGCAATCCCCGACTGCCGCAAGGGC